GGCCGGAGCGGTTCCCTCCGCTCACTAAGCTCTACCGGCTCCGCGGCGGGGTAGGCCGGGGTGCTCCAGCGGCGCGGGCTGTGCTGCCCCGGCCTTCCCCGCTGTAGGGCTTGAGACCGCCATCCTAGTAAGGTCTTGGGGGAACTGTGGCAGGGGGGGGGGGGGGGGGAGGCGGCTTTTTTTTCGCTGTGAGGCTTTTCGCGACAGCCGTGTAGTTCCCGGTTTGACAGCTGCCACCGGGCTTGCTCCTCTTCAGGTGTGTCACTGTGCAACTGCAGCCTGCCCAGCACTAAGCTTGGAGACTGTGCTGTCTGGCTGTCCTAGGGTGCTGTGCCTTGTCTGCTGTAGTCCCTGGTCAGGAAAAGTGCTCCCGGTGAGGCTGTTGAACTGCTTTTATGCCTTTTATCAGGCTACGTTAGTTTGTCTTTTGGGAGTGCAACACGTGCTTTAACAGGACTGAGAGTGTGTAGTATGAATTAAGAGCTCAATGCCTTCAACAGACACGTGTAGGATTGAAACCTGGGTGCTGTAGGTCCTCAGCAGGAGCTTATTGCTGCAGGAATACTCTAATACCCCACAATATCCCATGAATCCTGATGCAGTTCCTACAGCTATAATGTGTGTGTGCTTGCCCGCCTCTGGTCAGTCAGCAGGCAACAGTATCATGAAGATGTGATGTTCTGGCTCTGGGAACATTTGGTGTTGCGACTGAGCTAGTAGCAGACTATCTCCACCTATAGAAGGATGTAATAAGGCTTCTTGTTTCCTCCGATAGATCGTTGCTGAATTTAGTGGAGATGGCAAAGTCGGGAGCAGAAGCAAAACATGTTATCAGCTCGATGGCTCTGTTGGAAACTCCAACAGCCTCCACACTCGTGATGTATTGGGAGTCTTTTGGGACAGAAGGACCTGTGTGGATGTTACCTGTGCTTGTGGAATAGGATGCAAGAGAATGAATCCAGCAGAGCCAGCGTAGCTTAGTGATGCCTGATGAGTGGTGATTAACGTGCAGTGTTGGATTTGTTCTGTGTCGGGGACTGATTGCCTCAGTCTCTTCTCAAATCACCTCCCATTCATTTAGTATGGCTCTTCTACCACTCTGTTGTCTACTGTCCCTTGTTTCTTAGGCTTATTCTCCAAAAGATATACTAAGGTGCTTTTTGCTGCAATTTACGTACTACATTTTTACAGTATATATTTCTTTTTTCTTGCCTTCTGATTTTCTCATCTGCTCAGCAAACTGAATTCAGGAGTGTGGGATTTGCTACCTTCTCTGGGTCTCAGCACAGTTCTGGTCCTGATACTTGTATTTAATACATCAACACCCTATCAGTCTCATGGGGCCAGGGATTGTCTCGACAAATGTCAACTGAATTGCTGCGCCTCAAAACAAGAACGGACTGCACATGTTCTGGAGGTGCTTGTCTGGCTTATTCTTAGTAACCAAACCTTTGCTGGTAACCTATTCCTGTACTTTTGTTTTCTTTAACAAGAATTTTTGTGGTCTTTAACCAAAATTTTCCATGCTGCTGCTTAAGCCTGTTATGTCCTGTCATGTTAAGTGTGGCCACAAGGAACAGATTATTTCTGTCTTCCTCTTAGCAGCAACCGTTTACGTATTTGAATGCTGTTATCACACGTCCCCTGCAGGTATCTCCCCTTTAGTCCAGACAGCCCTGACTTGTTTCACCCTGTCTTTTCATTGCAGTCCTTAGGACTGATCACTTGTTCTCTGGATTCTGTTCAGCTGTCCTCTGTATTTTCTCAGGTGCGTGCACAGCTGACCTCTTACTCTGGTTTAGGCTGGGCTGAAATCTCAGAGTTAAGAGAGCAAAGGTGTGGGCAGTTAGAACACAGTGAAATGTAAGTGGGAATGAGACTGGGAGTCTCCTGGAGTGAAGCACAGCCTTTGTCATGTCAGTATTGCCCTGTTGACTGTGGATCACCAGAGTTGTGTTGGTAACTAGTACCTGATGTGGGGCTGATTCTGACCAAGACCAACGTGTGTTTTTTGTAGTTAATGTCTCGATTTAACAAGGAGGTCTGCAGATAAAATGGTGCTTCTACAAACCATCCTGGATTTTATCTCCTTTAACGAACTGTGGCCGTGCCTTTTTGCCTTCCGGGGGGGAGCTTTAATCTGTTGTAGTGAGAAACACTCCTAATTTTCCCTCTTATGATCCACTTATATCTCCTTGTGTTTTGATTGTGGGGTGTTTCGGGTCTTTCCTTTGTGTTCAGCCCTGCATATTCTTGCCTGAGGCCTCTGGGTTGCCAGTGTAATACAAATTGCTGCTATTAAGTAAAATAGGTACTTTTGCAGATATCTCAAGAAAGGAGTCATTTATTACCAGCACATGCTGATTAGGTAGAATGGATGGTGCTTTTGTACTCCTAATAAAAGCAAGAAGGAGGGGAGAAAGGGTCCAGATGGGAGGAGCGAAGAGGTAGGAGTTAAAGGTGTTTTGCTTGTCTTATAAGAGAAGGGGCTGGTGCTTGCAAGACAGACTCACAGTTCTTTAGAAAATATAAGTATGGTTTGAAATGTTACAGCTGAGAAGAGCAACTGCTACTGAAAAGGTGTTCCTGCTCTTTTATTCTTCACCAGTGCCAAATTTGGCATTTGCATGATCCTGGAATGAATCAGTCTGAGGAACTAAACTGGCAAGAAAGTATCAGGTAAAAGAAAGAATGTTGGCTTAGCTGCCCACCGTAATGCTTAGTGGGACCAGGCAAACCCCAGAAGTGCTGCATGGAGGGGAAAGCGCTTCCTTGGATGTAGCCTGAAACTGCAGCTGAAGGCATCAGATGATAGATGCAGCTGTGTGGAACAGCTCTTTATGAAGTGCCACACAAGAACACTCTCCTGGGAGTGGTTAAAATGATTCATATGCAATTGCTGCCTAAGGCTAGGGATGGGAAATAAACCTTTCAGGCAGCCGTGAAGCTGTACTAGCTCTGTAATTAAGGTAGTGTCTGCAGGACAGTGGACATGCTCAGATAATGAATGGGCAGGTGCACTGCTGCTCAGAGCGTTTCAGCAGTTTCCAGGATTCACAGAGACTGAGCTGCTTCTGAGTGCTGAAACAATAAAAGATAGAAACAATCTACTTGCAACCCGATGACACAATGAAGTGTGCACCCTGTCCAAGTGCTGCTAATTACTTTTAAGAGCAGTGGACAGTTGTCTAATGACTCTGTCTAAATTTGAGCAGGGCCATCCTGTAATGTAAGACAGGTAAGGACCAGGAACACCTGACACATGAATTCTTAATACTTGAATTACAAAACATGCAGCCCTTTGTGTAAGGCTAAGCATTTCATCAGCACTTAAATAGGCATTTAGTCTTACCTTGACCAGGGTATCCAAAGTTGCCTTAGGCATATGGTGGGAATCCTGATGTGGAATCCTGCTGACTAAGACAATTAGTTGTGAATGGGTGATTTAAATCACTTAAAGAACCACTGTCAAAGCTATTGGCAAAAGTGCTTTCCATATGATGTTGTACAAGTGTTACTTAAGTTGGATGACAAGATTCCCTCTATTACTGTACAGCACAACTATTTGAATAATGATTGAGTTACCAGGGCACAAATCAGAGTTACCCTACTACAAGGTTATGCTCAACATGGGTCGCTTACCAAAGATCTGCCATTGGTGAAAGGTGTCTCTACCTGGAGCAGTGACCTTGAGAGGTGTCCCAGCTCAAGGGGAGATCACCCCTATCCAGCCAGGCTGCTTAGGTGAGAGAGCTGAAAGGAGGCTCACTTAGGCTGTCATATTTCTGCAATGAAGTGGTTGGCTTGAAGTCAAATTGTGTGTGAAAGGAAAGGCACACGTGAAGCTCCTTGGGCCCGCAGCTTGCCTTCTTCCTTGATAAATGAGCCTTGGAAAAGCCGCCTGCTATTCCTGTGTTAAGTGCATGGTGTGTTTCCAAGCTCATTTTCATTGATGCTCGCTGTGTCACTCTGCTCCTTTGTGACTCACAGTTTTCAGAGAACAGATTGGAACTGGAGGAGTTCTTGGCCCAGCTACAGCTCAGGCCTTCGCCTTCTTTGGAGCCTGCTCCAAACCACCCCTAGTGTGGTTAAGGTGTCGAGTGCATTTGTCACAGTGCATTTTGACTAGGACAGGAAACAAAGCCAGTGCTTCTGAAGTCTTAAAATGAGATGTGAAAGATGGGGGTTTTTTAGCATTATTGCCTTTTTTTTTTCCCCAGTGTATTCAAATCCCAGAGTCCACTGCAGCAAGAAAGAAATTCCAGAAAAAACCTCCTCAGTAACTCAGTTACTGCTTCAGGCTAAGGAGGTGATCAGAGTAGAGGTAGGAGTTTGAAACACACTCCCTCTAAGATGACCTCACCTTCTGAGCCCATGGCACCTTGGAGCTGTAGCACCAAGGGGTGATGCCATGTTCAATAAAAAAATGGACATCAGCAGCTTAAAGTCACGTTTTGCTTTGGTTACTCAGAGCGGGATGTCGGAGCTGAGTGATGAAGCCAGTGAATCGGAGCTGCTGAGCCGCAGTCTTACCATGTGGCATGGGGTCGGGCAGATGATCTGCAGGGAAGAGCTGGACGTTCCCCTGGACTTGCACACAGCCTCCTCAGTCGGCCAGTATGAAGTGGTGCAGGACTGTATTCAGCGGTAAGAAGGGGCCGGGGAGGGCACAGGACTGGGGTTATTCACTGCCAGTTTTGGATTTTCACTGGCTGCTGTACAGGTTGGTCTAACTTTGCAACGGGGGCATGTCGCACCCCAAGAGTTCTTGGGTGCAAAGTTTCAAGGGGCAAGTCTGCTGCTAAAAATTGTCTCCTTAGTGATTTAGTGGAAGTTGTTCTGGAGCTGGTAGGAATTCCTGTGCAGGCTTCACTGCTAGAATTTTTTTTAGCCTTCTTTCAATACAGTGATGGTAGCAAGAGGCTGCAGGAACCTGTTGTGATCTACAGCTCCAGGAGAGTAGTTCAGCTGAATTCTTTTCTCTGTTATTTAGTGGAGATGTGGATTTAAATAAGAGGAATTGTGGTGGCTGGACCCCACTGATGTACGCCTCCTACATCGGCCACGACACCATTGTGCACCTGCTGCTGGAAGCGGGAGTGAATGTGAACATCCCAACACCAGAAGGGCAGACGCCGCTCATGCTGGCCTCCAGCTGTGGAAATGAAAGTGTTGCTTACTTTCTTTTACAGGTGTGTATCCCGTAATAAATAGGTAAAGCCACAGTACATGGTTGAAATGCACAGGGTAGGATTCTGCACCAGTTGCAAGCAAAGTGTGTGGTGTGTTCTGTTGCCAGTTGAGCTTCCTGACAGGGATTTAAACCCTCTTGGTACCACAGCACAGAGGGGCAGTGGCTAAGAGACCCAGCAGAGGGGATGCAGTAAAGGACCTTCTCTGTTCTCTTGAAGCAAGGCGCAGAGCTGGAGATGAAGGATATTCATGGTTGGACTGCTTTATTTCACTGCACCAGCGCCGGACATCAGCAGATGGTCAAGTTCTTACTGGACAATGGGGCAAACGCCAACTGCAAGTACGGAGGAATCTGTTGCTTCATTTTCTCAAAAGATATTTCATACCTAAAACAAAAATTAGCAGTTGGCACATAAACACACTCAAACACAGACAGGGAGAGGATGTCTGCTTTTGTCTTTCCTTCAATACCTTGGGAAGTATGGCACACTATTAGCTAATACAAGGATGGGTGACCTGCAAACTGAGCCGTAAAGTCTGCCTGTGTTGCCACTGTTTATTTAACTAGATCAAGAGAAATTAGATTTACTGCTTGTTTAATTATGGGCTAAACTCTGAAAGCAAACAGGTGCAAGGCCTTCTGAACTGAAGTGCACTTCAAGTCTTTCTATTGAATTTTCTGTGTACTTGGAGTTCAGTGTCTGTTTTTTTGAGGTGTGCAGTGCATTGCCATGCCTTGAGAACTGCCTGTACGTTTATGCATATTGAATTGCCCGAGGTCAACAGAAGGTTCTTGTTTTGTTAGCTCCTGCAAAACTGATTAGGCCATTGAAAGGCAGATCTGACTGGAAGAGCAATCTGTTGCTGTGCAGCCAATGGACTAACATTTACTCAATCTTGAGATTTTTACTGAGCTAGACCTCAGTGCAGTAGAACAGCTGACACGTGGTACAGTGTGATCAGCTGAAGGCAGAGGCGCCCCGTTAGGGTATGGCGAAGACTGCAGCATGTTTCAGCTTTGATTATCCTCGTCCATGTGTGCATGTTTGTTTTCTCTCTAGGGAGCCAGTGTATGGATATACACCACTGATGGAAGCAGCTGCTTCTGGCCATGAGATAATTGTTCAGTACCTTCTCAACCATGTAAGTCTCTAGACAGTTCTCTCTAAAGCTGAAAATGTATAGTTCCAACCCTCAGAGAAAAAGCCACAAGCTTGACACTAGGCTTCTTACAGTGTTATGCTTGATGACAGTCACCTCTGACCTGAAGTCCCAGACTTCCAGGACAGTTCTGAAAGTATCTGCTTTCTGGAGGCTAGTACTCTGGCATTGCATGAATAGGAGTGACATCTAACTGTCCAGACTTAACTTGATAATGACTGAATTGGCAAACAGCTAAAGTGGTAATCGCAGTATAGCGTTTACAGGCTTGTGTGTTCAGGCTAGTAAGCATCTTCTGTCTCCAAAAGCATGTTTATTGATGTTAAATGATTTTTTTTTTTTAAGTATCCCATTTAACCAGTCCAGCTTACTTCCAGAAGGAGGCAGCAATGCAAAACATTTGTCAGATAAACTAGTTTCTCACAGCAATGCACAAGAGCCATATATCAGGACTACTTGGCATTTCAGGATTGGGGAAACTGTGGATAACCAGAAGGACACTTCAAGGTCCACTAATACCTTGTTGCCTCTCAAAGGTGACCCTGTGTTCTTGATGGACTTGGAGAAACTAAGACAATTCTTTGGCTCCCTTGATTTTTTTTTTTTTTTACTATAGTGCTCCCTAATACACGTGTTTTAAATATGTGTTTTTCTGCAGGGAGTGAAAGCAGATGTCAGAGATAACACTGGAGCTACAGCACGGACACTAGCCATGAAGTATGGACATACAAAGATTGTGGGGTTGATAGATTTGCACGCAGCTCCAGTGCCCAAGGTCTTCTGCAGGGGACCAGGTAACAGATGGTTTAGCTTATTAGTTTTAGTATAGAACCTGAAGAGAGGTGTTAGATGTTGTGAAAGTATATACTGTGTGTATGGTGTAGTACTAGCTGGTCTGTCCTGGAAATTCCAGCATTGCTGAGGATGGAAGAGGCATGGATCCAGCAAGTATTTTCTTTTTTTTGTCTGCTGGCCCTTTCCTTTTTTCTTTCCACCGCACTTACAGGACTAGTAGCAAATAAAGAGGATAAATTACTATGCTGCTAACAAACTTTGTTTGATCTACAGGAAAATACGAAGAGCTGAGTTCCTCAGATGAATCATGTTCTGCACCCCAGAGACAGAGACCTGTTCGTAGGACCAAGGGTCCCAGCATCCATGATGGGCCTCAGGCTTTGGCTAAAATAACAGCAGTTGGAATTGGGGGAAAGAAGCAGTCTTGTTATGGTGAGAACAGTTAGAAGCCTAATTGAGAGTCCTTTGAAGTCTCAAATGCTTTGCGGCTATTTCTGTGCAATGATTTTTTTTTTTCTTTTGATTTGGGACTCCTGTCTGGCTTGTACAGAAACAAAGATAGTGAACGCCATCATACAAAGCTATCCGGCCTCTGGTTTAAAAAGAAAACCCCTTGAACTCTCTTGTCAGGGCTGGATATTGAGGAGTGCAACGTTTCTGGGGAACGAATGCTGCTCTTACCTCAATTATTGTTCCCTCGACTCTTGAACAGTCCAGGTTCCCTTTTTGAGGTAGGCTGAAAAGTTTGACAGCCCTCCTCAAGCTTTCCCACAGGAAGTGGTCACAAGAAGACATTGTTGATCATGAATGTGAACTTGCTGCTCCTAGACCTGTCAAGTTTTGTCTTCCTTGGTGTTTGAAACACTGCTAAAAATGAGGTTATAAAACCCTTGCAGTAGGCCAAGAGAAAGATCATCCCAGTTCAGACATCAACCCCTGAATGCAGTGGTGTGAGCTTTGTTTTCTTGTGTGTGGGTCATAGCTGTGGGTATTTCTCAGGCTGATTACCTGGTTGTCCAGAACAGCCAAGAATGTGGACTTAAAAGCATGTTGAAAATTTGGTTCGTTCTCTTGATCATCATAGAATCACAGAATGGTTTGGGTTGGAAGGGATCTTGAAGATCATCCAGTTCCAACAAACCTGCCTTCCACTAGACCAGGTTGCTCAAAGCCTCATCCAGCCTGGCCTTGAACACTTCCAGGGATGGGGCATCCATGGTTGCTCTGGGCAACCTGGTCCAGTGCTTCACCACCCTCTCCAGGAAGAATTTCTTCCTGATATCCCCAATCTAACCCTCCCCACTTTCAATTTAACCCCATTACCCCTTGTCTTGTCACTACCTGCCTCTGTAGAAAGTCCCCCCCAGCTTTCTTGTAACCCCTTCAGGTACTAGAGGGTGCTATAAGGTCTCCCCAGAGCCTCCTCTTCTGAACCCCTCTAGCTCTCCCAGCCTGTCCCCATAGCAGAGGGGCTCCAGTCCTCTGAGCATATTTTTGGCCTCCTCTGCACTTGCTCCAACGGGTCCATGCCCTTCTGATATTGGGGGCTCCACAGCTGGACGCAGCACTCCAGGTGGGGTCTCACCAGAGCAGAGTAGAGGGGCAGAATCCCCTCCCTCGACCTGCTGGCCACACTTCTCTGGATACAGCCCAGGATATGGTTGGCCTTCTGGGCTGCCAGCGCACACTGCCGGCTCATGTTCAGTTTTTCATCCACCAGTACCCCCAAGTCCTTCTCCTCGGAGCTGCTCTCTATCCACTCTCCACCCAGCCTGTCCTTGTGCTGGGATTGCCCCAACCCAGGTGCAGGACCTTGCACTTGGCCTTGTTGAACTCCATGAGGTTGGCAGTGGCCCACCTCTCCAGCCTGTCCAGGTCCCTCTGGATGGCATCCCTTCCCTCCAGCATGTCACTGCACCACACAACTCGGTGTCATTGACAGACCTGCTGAGGGTGCACTCTATCCCACCGTCTGTGTCCCTGAGAAATGTTAAATACTGCCCAACATGGCCCCCTGAGGAAAACCACTTCTCTCTTGTCTACACTTGTACATGGAGCCATTAGACCAGAACTCTCTGTGTACAACCACCCAGCCAATTCCTTATCCACTGAGTGGTCAACCCATCAAATCCGTTTTAGAGACGAGGATGTCATGCAGGATAGTGTCAAATACAGAGACATCCTATCCCACAGGCAGTGGCTGAATTGAAATGAGACTGTCAGTGTCTGAAACGATAGTGGGATGCTGCTGGTGCTTTAAAACAGATGTGGGGGGGTTAGCTTTACAGGGTGTGCTTGGCTGGGGATGGGACATAGCTGGCACCTTGCTCTCTTAAGCAGATGTTTTTCCCCTTTGGTAATTTCGGTATGAAGAGGAAAGGAAATGGTGAAAGCTGCTATTTAAGGTGCTTCTCTGCTATGAGGCTGCTTCCTCTGACTTTTTCAATGCAAATATCTAAATCAAGTACTGCTGATGTGTGTTTATGTGAGGGAGGCCATAGGCATATGCATTGCTTAGTTTGTCTCAGCTTTTTAGAACAAAACCTGCTGGTTGAGATGACAGTCTCTTCTTTTGATTATTCTCAAATCCTTGAGTGGTTGCTTTTCCTGCTGGAGGCTCCCTGGAGTTTGCATCCTAATCTTGGTTTGTTTTGCCTTCCTCTTGCACACAGAGCAGGTCCCTCCTCAGGGCTACGTTACCTTTGGAGATGATGGCAGCAGTAGTGAAGCAGGCGATATCCGGAACCGAGACGTTACATCTCCAATTAATGAGCAGGATGTGGAGAGCAGCAGCAGCAGGGGTGAGTCTTGGAACCCGTCTTGGAAGATAATCTGGCTTGCAGTGCACACCTGGATGTGAGACAAAGCCCTTGGCTTGTTCCCTTCTTGCCGCAGACTGCAGGGGAACCTCTGCTCTGGGCACCTCCTCCCTGCCTTTCCGCACTGACCTGGGTGTCCACAGAGTTCTCTCTCCAATCCCACTCCTCTCTCTGCTGCTGGCTTTCCCCTCTAAAATAAGTTAGTCACAGAGGCACTACTTGGCTCAGCCATGGCCAGAGTTGGGTCTGACTTGGAGTCATAGGAGCTTCTAGCAGCTTCTCAGAGAAACCACCCACCACTACCAACCCCCACTACACAGGTACTAAACAGACTTGGAGAAGGATTGGTGCCTGGGATCCAACATGCAGTATTGCTGTCAGAATCATCTTGTCATGATGCTGCATGTGAAGCCTTGCTCCAGGTTTCTCCTTCCTTTGCACCTCAGCAGGTTTTGTGTAGCAAAACCAGTACTGAGCATAAGGAAGTTGAACCTCAAACTTTTTTTTCACAGGTTCACAGGAGGGAAGGGGTTGGAAGG